GGCTGCTTCTTCGTGAAGGAATTGAAGATACCTAAATCAATGTGGAAGAGTAGCGATGGCAAGGCTAACAGTTTCAACACTAATAATATGGCCATCGTACGCGTCAATCTCTGACAGACCCAGCGACTATCCATCCAGTTATTCTATTAGGATCATACAGGCATTATCTTAAAAGGTCTACTTTGCCACTTAAGGTTGTCTTTGATTGGTTGTTATGATGCTTCGGGGCGTGCAAGTGTTTTCTGTCGAGTGCGCGACAGGCTTACTCTGGCTGAGTTATCCACTTGGGTGCAGGCTGTTTGTTTACGGACTGTTGAAAAAGAGTTATTTCGATACTGCTATCACCGCAGATATTTGTGGATGGGCTCCTCTTTACAAGTAGCAATTGGAATTCCAAACTTTTGAAGTGAAGTCCTCCGATTTTTTCTTGTGAAGTCCACGGCTTGCAAAAAGCGTCGTTCACGTACCATAGTTACGTCCTAATCTTAAGCCTCGAATTCTGCTGGAGTTCTGAGGTCACCTACCAACGCATCAAGGGGGGCCTTTGCGGAGACAGCAGTAGCAGGCTTGACGGTGTCTCGGAGAAGTTTCCCACTTGGAAGGCAATAAACGGTTGATAAGCTAGAGTCATGCTTCCAGGGTTGGGAAAGATGTGGAGTTTCAGCTGCTACGCGAAGATTGGACCCACATGGGTGAGGCGCCATTTGGATAATCTTGAGTCCATATCTTGGACTCTGTGCAGTCTGTTACAGATCTGGACGTCGATCTTGGCTAGGATCTAGGATGATTTGGGAATGACTCAGTCTCATGCCACAGAATTGTTTGCAAACATCCCCTGGCTTAGAGCCTCGCACACAACTCCAGCCTAACAATAGCTGCACTGCCTACTGAGAAGGTCGGGCGCCTGGCATAGTTTGAGTTAGTCAACGCTGCAATAGTCTTGCCGATGCTTAAGTTGACACATGTCAACGAACCGTATCTACGCTCACTCCCCACAGTAGACCTGCTCGAGGATAACTGTTCATGAGCGATCGCGAGGCGCCCCTGGAGCTATGGCCCTTCTGGGGCCACAACTTACGGACGCTGGGGGCCTGGAGCAGGGTCCGGGGAGTTGGACTTTTGATGGAGGACTGGCGTTATAAATGTGGTCTTGCAAGTGCTAGTGATGAGTATTTAAATTTTGCTGCAGCTAGTGGCTCATCAGTACGGAATCCATGGGCTGGGCGTCTGAATACATGGGCTGGAGTCCTCCTTTGGGGGTCTACTCTTGCAAGTGTAAACCTGGAACTCTTCATCTTCATTGGTTGACCTACTTAGACAACATCCCGGACACTGGCATCTGGCGACTGTAAGGCTCCGGCAACATCTACTCCGCTGTGAGCACAAGCTACCGGCCACCCTCTCTACCGTTGGGTTGAGGCTGAGTTGGTAAGTAGCTTGGAGCCCAGCTTCTAGCCCAAGAAAGCTCAACCCTGATGTGGGGGTTTTGGGGTCCCTTCTGGGGGGATCCCTAAAACCCTAATTGGGGATTGTAGTAGTCTGTGGTATGTGAAGGGAAGCTCCTATTGGGAAGTAGCTATGCGGGGATTTCCTAGATTCCTTATGATATGGGTGCCTACTATACGGAGTTTGCATTTTGAAGCGGCTGGTCCCTCTATAGGTTTCCCCCATTTTGGTAACAATACTGTAGGCAAAGTCCCATATAGCAACATTCAACCGCACTGAACTCAGCCATACCTACTCCTGCAGAGTGGAGCGAAGACCGTGCCAAAAATCCAACAATAGGGAAGATTCCCAGAGGATCTACAGACAGGGCGGACCCTAGGAAGGGCACTTAGAAGGTACCTAGAAGGAAACGGGCACTTAGAAGGTACCTAGAAGGAAACGTAGAGCTTACTCAGAGAGTCTGTCCCATCTGGCGGTCCCTCGCGGATCTGCCTTAAAACATAGCCTGCTTCAAACCACGGAATGCGTGAACATAAGTGACTGCCAGGGTTTCCAAGAAGCAGGGGTTTTTGGGGATTCAAATATTTGCACGGCAAGTTTTGGAAGTAGTTGTGCGAACTCGGGAGTTCTGACTTTCACCCAAAAGAGACTGGCCCCTACAGCGCTAAGTGTCGCCGCAGTCCGTATCACTTGGAATGTGGCCTAGCTGTCGGCTTAGCTGTGTTGAGGCCCAAGATCCCCACAGTCTATTAGGATCATTTCTTTACGATATCCCCCGCATATAGCTTATGTTTTTCGAAACATAGGTATACATCTGCCTTTCATTCACACACCTTTGAGATATCTACTTAGAAGGTCGATTTAGATATTGGGATGCTCTTCAAAAAAGTCACCACAGTGACAACCTAATCCACATGCGTCCTTATAGATCCCAGTGGTGTCCTTGTAATATCCTCAAAACTGAGTCAAGCGTTCAAAAGCAGTCTCATGTGAGCCTCCCACAACAGCCTGATGATCTAGCTGCTTGCCAAATACAAGTCCTTCGTATAGGACGCACCCCCGAGAGTGACTTGCTTATTTGAGATGTCCCCAGCGCGCACTGCATGAAATAAAGTCCTCACGTCGGCCTGAGACAACTTGTAAGAGTTTTCCCATTCTTAGCTACCTGCCTCCGCGCGTTCCGGTCAGAGAAGCAGGGGCTTTTGCCTGGTGGCTTATTCCGCAACAGCAGCATTGGGGCTTAGGGCGTAGAGCCAATAGAAGAGTTACAGTCTTCAAAGTTTCCGGGTCAGTTGCTTACGCAGGAGCTTAAGTGTCCTCATAAACCCATTGGCATAATATTAGGATTGCATTTAGGCTATATAGGGATAATGAAAATAAAATGGAAACTGCTATTAGGTCGCAGAGCTCAGGAGTTCTCAACATCCTGCCTTAATTAAGTGTCCTCATAAACCCATTGGCATAATATTAGGATTGCATTTAGGCTATATAGGGATAATGAAAATAAAATGGAAACTGCTATTAGGTCGCAGAGCTCAGGAGTTCTCAACATCCTGCCTTGCCCACGCGGTTTAGGGTTTAGGGTTTAGATAAATTTGCAGGAGAGACTCGTAGCAGTTCTCAAGGAAAACGGAGTTGGGGGCACACGCGGAAGTCTCCTTGTTTGACGTGTATCCATGCGTACTATAGTCTAACCTCCTTAATTAAAGGGGTTTATATGGGGGATTATATAGGGGACGTACTGTAGGGCTTTTTTAGGGGGATACCAGGAGTTTAGACTATAGCTCATGTATGAGGGCTGCCTTGTCGTGATTGTCCTGAAATATCAAGGGGTCATTTGGTGCTCACGCTAGCTTAGTACTTGGCTTGGGATGGTAGCATTCCTGAACCCCAAGCTGTGAGAACAGGCCTCACAGAAAGCCACCCTGCCAATCACCGCCCGGTATGCAAGTCACGCAGTGCCTTGACCTTTCAGCTGTACTTGGACATAAGATGTTTCAAGAAAGCCATAGCATGCGGTCCAGCGCGCGTCTACAGCAAGCTGAGACCATGGCGTAAATATCCGATTTCAATCTTGCAAGCTAGGTAGGCCCAGCCTCCTTTGGTGCGAAATGCTTGCGAGCCCAGTTATCGCCATCCTTAGGAAGAGAGCATGCAGGACCATGAAGAATATACTCCAGGTTTATTTCACTCGCAAGGAGAGACCAATATCTCGCAGCGGCATCCATAAGTCTGTTCTGCCTGTGCAATTCCAAAGCATAAAGAATGTACTGCACCGGGGCGGATGCGAGCGTTGGACACGATTACATCGATCACGGCACCCACGAGATCAAAATGCAGTGTAAGTTTCTGTGACGTCCTGTGTTCCAGTTGGGATCCAATCAATCAATGTATACGCGGTTGTTAAGTGCGCAAGTAAGATGTCCGAAAGGCTCTCGGAGGCTTAGTTTTCAACAGCATGTTGCAGTTTAAGCCCTGCTTGCGTGGGTCTGTCTTCGTGTTTCTCACACAGGGGGAATTTTCAGAGGAGCATATAGACTGCTACATACCCAGACCTTTCAGTCCCATAACTATCACAAGACTTCGTACCCAACACCGCTGTTCTGGTCAGTATATGCTATCTTTGCACGTGAGACGTCTCAAGCCATGACCTTCTCTGGGGTAAAGTATGACCCGACTTAGGGCCTAGGAGTGTCCACAAATCGTCAGTTGAACCTGAGAGCCCCAACAGTCCCGTATGCTACATTGCAAAAGTAGAGAACGGCAGACCCTTTGAAGGACCTCCCAGAAGGAGGTTTCTGCATTGGCTCTCCGCAGGTTGTGGTACCACCCGACGGGCCGTATCCTCCCCAGCACGGATCCCCAGCCAGTGCCGGCATTTCATACTTAATTGGGAATGATGGGGGTGGGTCCGCTTGGATTATATACGGATGGATCTCCCATGCATGAGTAAAGAGAGCGTTTGTGTAGCTATGTTCGAAGTACAGCAATGCAAGGATGTATGCGCTCCAACGCTTGTTGGCTTAATGTGCATGCCCCGAGGTGCTGGCAAAACAGAGTTTATGATCTGGTGTTAAAAGTAGCTCGGGCTGTGGCTTCACTGATTCTACAGCCGAACAGCAGTGGAGCTGCGCAACTGGGACATACGAACCTCACAGCCATTCTCGACGCCTGAGGCCTTCAGCCCATAAGGGTGGTTGTCAAAATCATGGTTCCTTTTGGATCCCTATTTTTATACGGCACCTAATATTTAGGGTACCCAAAAAGGGACCATAATTTTGACAACGACCCAGAACTTGCACATCCTGGGAGCAGAATTGCTGTATCTCAGGTGCACAGCACTTGGTAAAGGTGGGCAACATGGACTCTCCAAAATGTAGGGCGGCGTGTTCGTTGTTGAGCTTATGGAGTCCTGCATGTAAGCCTCATACATGCATAGAAGCATTCTATCGAGCAGCAGCCACAGCTGCATTCCTGGAAGAGGCCTGAAAGAAGCGCCTGCTACACCGCCAAACTCTGGACTCCTGAGCCTACAACCAAGTTGTTTCTCAAAGGTGCTACGGTGGGACGCCTTTGGAAGTCCGGGGGTCTCGCGGTGAGCAGGTGGAGAACACGTGGTGGGTTCTATCTTGGGAGATTCTTCAAGTAGTATGGTAAAGGGGTTACAGGGCTTCTCATGGCATGTGGTCATACACTACGTTTGACTCCAGTACAGTTGAAGAAGTAGCCCTACAATCTCTGCATGTTTACGGGATCCTCAAGGGCACCTTGTTTTGAGAATTCTGCAGGGTGACATGATCCGTAAACAAGGTCTGCAAGGAAGATGTACACCAGTGTAGGGGTGTCTTACTTGAAGTCATTCAACACAACTGTTTTTTTCCGTGCCCAAGTTAGAAAGAAGTGAAAGCTGCTTAGGGCATACGCCCAATGCACTAAACCCCCCAACTTTATTGCCTCAACCTAACCTATCTTGGAACTCCATGGGACATAGTGACATGGCTGTACGTATGAGCCAACTGACTGTATAGTTCGAAGTAGGTTTTAGCTACCCGTGGACCTCCAGATATCTCGGTATGATATCCATAAGCCCCTCATGGCCGCAGGGACCGCTGATACTTCAAGACTTCCAAACAGCGCCAAGTGCCGCAGAAAAACCAAGCCCGAAATGCCAAACACCTTACCTTTCAGACCCTAAAACCCTAAACCCCAAACCCTAAACCCATAAAGCCTACACCCCTAAACCTGACAGCCTAAACCATAAATCCCTAAACCTCTAAACCTAAACCCCAAACCCTAGAGCCAGAGCCATGGAAACCCAAAGCCCTCAATCCTCGAAGCCCAAATGCTAGCCCCACTGCAAGCGTAATTACTGATATTAATTCCTTGTAATCCCGGTAGGTCTATTCTGCAAGATGTAACGTGAGATGATCCTAGATGTTATTCAAGCGCTATAATGGGCTATAATACCCTTTGCCGGTCCATTCAATTTTCCATTTGATGTTCCAATTCTTGTCTATGGTTCTTGCTTTGTGTTAGACTGAAACTGAAAAAGAATACTATATAACCCCATTATCTTTTATTCTCATATTCCCTATAGAACCCCATATATATATATATATCCAGTTATCATGTAGTACGGGAACCATGAGCCTTTAGGGTTTGGGCCAGGTCAAGCCTCAAGTTTGGTCCTTGCAGACAGGTGTGGAGGACTGCTCCCTTTAAGAGAAGTCGGGGATAGTTAACAGTAGCATATTACGATTAAATGAGACACATAACATAGGTTCTAGTTCGAAGTTGTACACCAAAAAGGAGCCGGGACTGAGGTAGCCCATGCCAGCAGATTCCCAGGTATAACAGGGTTGTTTTTCCATATGGAGTCCCCTTTACGAGTCCAAGAAGAGACAACCCCTGCCTCCAAAACAAGGCACTCCTAGCTGGTCGTAGCTTTTGGAAGCCGCAACATTTCAGATGCAGCGAGAACTTTCTTGCGGCACCCTTTCGAGGATTCACAAGGAACTTGAAGAAAACACACTTTGGGGGTGTGGGATTGGGGACTTGCGTTGCAGAGCGTAGGATTCAGAGTTTTGAGTGCGCTTGGATTGAGGCACCTTGGGATTGCTGCGAAGGTTTGCATGTTAGTGCTTTTTTCTCGCTGGGTGGTCTGAGGCCAAAATCCTATTGTCTCCTGCTAGTCAGCATGAGCACTTCAGAATTCATCCTTTTATGGGTGTGCCTTCTGAGGCTCCCCGATTGCATGGCAATCACCGTGCTCTTCCTCCAGCCATACCAGAAACAATTACAGCTTTCCTGCCACGGTTCTTTGAGATCATGAGTTTTGTGTGCTCGTAAGTTGACCTTCCTGCCTAGTCCGAAGAACCTCATGAAATGCTGGAAAATCGGGAAGAGTTTCTTTGAATACCCCTTTTGCAGCTACATGCTACAGCTCCACAAATGGCTGTCTTCATTACTGTACGTTCTCCAGCACAAATCTGGACTTCAAACAGGTGCACACTAAGACCGCGCCTGATTCTCGAAGGCGTCAACTTGGAATTCCATGCTTATTTGGGAAGGTAACGGCTGTAATTTTGGCAGGAGAGAATCGAGGTCTTTGCCAAGACACTGATGCGACCAGCATCTTGGCTTGGCGTTAAAGGAAAGTCATGATCTAGGAGTGCCTCAGCATTGCAGGTCTTGGATTTGGAACGAAGGGTTTGTTGTTTTGTTGACTACATGAGTACTGTTGTATACTGGGAAGTTGCGTGCCTGATTGTTAAGGGATGTGCCCACTCGAGTCCGGGCAAGCAAGGAACTTTGACAGCAAGCGCCAGGTATCCAAAATCTTTGCAAAGGCGCAACGCATGTTGGTTGCTTCATCCCCCTAAACCCTAAACCCTGAGTCCCAATTCCAAGGGGGCAGTCAAAGCGGCTCTGAGGCTCCACCTATGGTCTTCGTTGTATGCATGGTTTTTAGTTGATGTGGCACTCCTCCGACTTCTCTCTTTGCATCTTACGTTTCTGTTGAGGCATGTGTAGGGACCCTAGATCATAGACATACCCCCTCACCTCCTCAGCTCTTGTCTTCTGACACTGCCTTCTACTGGAGTTTTGGATTCAGGAAGTTTTCCTTCATTTTTGCAGTTGCTGCAGACATCTAGTCATGGGCTTTCACGGGGCTTTCTTCCGTGCACAAACTGTTTCGATGTTTCCCGACGTGCAATTAGGTCAATATAGAAGTCCTCGGAAAGTTTCGTAGCATGTCATGCGCATTTGCAAAAATGGCCACCCACGCACCCCTGAAGCAGACTTGAAAACTCCTCAGCCCTGACTGGATGTAGATAGAATATGGGGTAGATGGGGATCTTATAAAACATTATGCCCAAAGCCATGTTCTATCTACTTAAGGGTGACTATACTTCCCGGCTTGGTTTTTCAGACATTACCTTCGGAGATCAAGAGAGGTTCACAACACCCTCCAAAAATTATTGGGGACACATGAGCTATAGTCGAAACTCCTGTATAACCGGGATTTTCTAGGGGACTATTATAGAGGTATTAAGGGGGATACTAGGAGTTTAGACCATGAGACACATAGCAAAACTGCCTGAGGGCCAAAAATCAGGTCCTAGTCTCGGCACCCTACAATTATAATATATCCCCATATGAGTAGTATTTTATTTGGGGATACTATGGTACCCATTATCGAGTAAGACTCTATCCTCTTTTGGGGTATAGTATTTCATATAAGGAATATAATCTTACTGGGTTTAACCACCAAAAAAGCGCTACTCATAAAGTCCCTCTAGTCCCTATGCAGTCCCCATAAAGTCCGTACATGACCTCATTTGCCCAGGTGCAGTATTCCTTCATTGAGGACTTCGAGCTTCCTGTATGCTCCTCTGTGTTTGTGGGTTGAGGGCGTGGGGGCTGTTAAAAATGGGGTCCTCCTCTAGTATTTATAGTATATTATAGTATATATTTTAGTGTATCATCGTATATTATGGCAAGTTGCAGTATAATGTAGTATACTGTAGTATATGATGGTAAAGCTGCGTATGTAGGCCGCTGTAGCACGATTAGTCACATGCGGGGTTCCCCAAACGGGTCATGTTTGTGACAGCTTCAAGTACCGGGATCCCTCATGTAAGAGTCCGTGAAGGAGGAGCCGGAGCAATCTCCAGTGCCCATCAGTATGAACATTTATTGGACAGAGGCCCCCTTCTACTCTCCAATTGACTAGATCCCCAGGAAGAGGACAATTGAACGGTTTGGAGGCCTCTTTTGAGAAGGACCCGTGGGCAGGGCAACATCAGCCGCGATTATGCAAGATCAGCTGGAACGAAAAACTACAAGAGCCGCGAGACATGACGTAAGTTCAAGATGATTCCGTTTTTGCCTTAGGCCTCCGACAACGATGTTGTACAGGTCCGTCGATATGCTGCTGGGCGGAACTAGCCTCTTTTATGGCCTTGGATATTCAGGATGGTAAGCGGGCCTAGCGCAGGAGACAAAGGTGCCATATTCCTGGGGATGCTTTGGAACCTATATCGCGCCTATCTAATACCCATATTACCTTTATAACCCTCTATCAGGGGGGTGGGTATTGCTATCCTAAGGAGCTTCTGGCCTTAGTCTACCTTAAGGTTCCAGTACCCCAGAGACTTTTCAGACTTGGGCAGGGTTGAGGTACTGGAGGGCATTGCGTTATGCATGCTACAGCTATTACCATTACTATTGCTACTATAGTAGTATTACTATTATCATTATTACTATTAATATATGTGGAACGAGGTCCCGCAGTGATTCAAGGTTTCATGCGTTTGGCTGCTGTCAAGTAGCGGATTCTTAAATTGAACCCTAAACCCTAACCAAAATCAACGAACTCAAGCTCAGAGGATGAAGAAATGCGTCAGCGATTCTCGGGTTTTAGTTATGCGCATCCAATTTAAGGCGTGCAATGTGACAGTTTCTATTTTCAAAGCAACCAGGGCAAGTTTTCGGTGTAATCCTACTGCATTCGAGTGGATCCCTCTGAAGATTCCCAACATTTAGCGGTTCTCATTGCATTTTCCATTGACCCTAACCCCCAATAGAGGGACCCAAGTTCTTAGGAATTAGGGGATCCCTACATAACCCTAGTTTACACTTCATGTTCCATATTCTTTCCCATTTGAGTCTCCAACATAGCATTTGCCACTTTCTTTGCCATTTATTAATCAAATACAACTACTTACCGGCAACCTGTGGGAGTCAGGAGGCTAGTCCTACAGATCCCTAAGCGGTTTTGGGGATTTTGGGAGTTGAAGGGGTTTAGGCTCTGAGGTTTAGGGTTTGAGGGTTTGAGGGTTTCGCATGGTTTCCGCATATCTTCAGCCTTGAGCTGGGAAGCACGTTTGCAACATCAATCGCTCGTAGCGAGGTTGTCTATGAAACAACTGTCCGTAGGCCGAATCGGGGACATGAGTCACCTACCCCTTAAAAATGATCCCCCTCCCGGTCCCCTATAGTACACATTCCCCCTAATAGATAATGGTTCATTAAGGGGGGGTTCAAAGGTTTATTCCTAAGGGGAGGGGAGTAGTAAGTGAGCAGTGCAGAGTCAAAAGGCGAGAATAGAGGGATGCAGATTTTTCTTGTAGGCGTTGAAACTGCCGTACTAGCCCACAAATGCCTCTTCCCTCTGAGTAGTCCTTGGCCTTTAATATGGCCCAGCAACTTTGCTTTAAATCTAGGGGTTTGGATTAATTGAGAGCATGGATGAAACCTCAACCCTAAACCCCAATACAACCCTAAGCCCCTAAACCCTAAACCCTAAACCCTAAACCCTAATATAACCCCAACATAACCCCAATGAACCCTGATCCAGCCCAGGAGCTAAACGAAGCCGGCCTACGCCAGGCTGGGGCCTCGCAGGTATTGTTGGTTTAGGGTTTAGGGTTTAGGGTTTGGGGTTTAGGGTTTAGGGTTTGGGGCCTAAATACGTGATCCTAGACAAGGGTAATGACGGATAGTCCGATGCAGAAGAATATGGCCAATGAAACGGAATCTAGGTTTGCAGAAAGGTTTGCAGGCATAGCTACCAAGTCATTGTATACTTATAGTATAGAATACTTCAAATAGACCTGTTTACCTAGGCCCTCGAAATACACCCAATGAAATGCATTAACCAGGACAAGTGTCTTGAAGGTACCAATGAAACCTCGGGCCTGCCCTCTATCTAGATGATTTAAGGGTTGTGGAAGAGAGGTCTATGTGTGCACGGGTTTTTAGATGTAACGGCTTGTAGACGAAGGGGACCCCGGACAGCGCTGAGAAAAGGGGGCCCTAATTTGTAGGAAGCTGTTCCGATCAGCCTGCTGGACTGGTAGACTCTCCCTGGTCCAGCTGGTTACCTGGTCAACTGGTTGGTTTGGCACTTGTGGGTTGGTCAGCATGGTTCCCCGAAACCCTAAACCTTAAACCCTAAACCCTGAAGGATTGTAGTACACTGGGGTTTATATTACGTTCCCTTCTCAGTTTCAGGGCCCGGTCCCGCCACTGTTGGGGTTTGATCTGTCGGAGCGCGGTTACCGCCAGTTCGGTCTTGATCGGGCTGGCCGAGTGACCTGGCGGGAGGGTCCAGTCCTGGTGCAGTCACACGGCCGGCGACCCACTCTGTTTCTTTTTGCTGTCTTTCTGGCTTTCATTCTTTTGCTTTCCTTTCTTTCTTTCCCTGTTGCTGTTTCAGCCATCTCTGCGAAGAACCTTCAAGTCCCGTCTCCGAGTCCTCCTTAGGGGGTTTGTCCTATCTGCGGGTCCTTGCGCAATGTACAGAATCCCTATAAACCTTTGTAGTTTCCATTTTATTTTCCATTATCCCAATATAAACCCAATATAAACCTTATATATATATATATACAGTAGGCTCGCCTCGCCTTCAACTGTGACGCGGTGTTCAAGTCCATGTCGGAGGCGTGTGAAGGGTTTCGAGGTTTGGAGGCTGGGATGTTTTATGTTGGGGTTAAGTTTAGGGCCTTGGTTTAAGGATTTTTGTGTATGGTTGGGGTGGCTTTGGGTTCAAGATGGTTCAGGGGACAGCTTTCTTATTTGCCACAAAATATCTGCAACTTAGGGTGCCTTCATCTAAATCACTCGGGGTCTTTTGCTGAACAGGTCTAGATAGTCGAACGGGATTTCCAAAGCACAATAATGGTCGATTGCAGGAGGATTCTAACCTTGTAGAGGAATAAGTTCAAGCCAAGCCTTTGCTTTTTAATCCCTGACCCCCAAACCCCCCGGATAGGCATGGGAGGTGATCCTCAAACAAAGCGATTTCACAGATCATGAAAGCCTCAACTTTGTCACGCTTGGTCTTCCTTTGCAAGACTAAAGTCTTGTTCGGGAGTTTATCAAGATGCTTTCCGAAGTTTCCATACATTCAGGATGCCAAATAGTGCCGTGCTTGCTGGAAAGTCATAATCTCTAGGTGTTCGACCTTGCTAGAAGTCCAGTATAGCCCACAGCCCCTGTATTCCAAGAGTCTAATACCCCCAGACCATTGGAAAGATGGAGGTTCGAAAAACCTAGAGACCTCCATATACCGCCCATGACAGTCTAAGCCTTGCTATACGGACCCCGAAAAAAATCTTCTAAAAACTCCTAAATCAGTCCTCCTGCCTGAGTCCGGCGTCCTTAACCGTGGTTCTGACTGTGACGTCCTGCCGGGTATGTGCTGAGCTTGGCTACAGTGCTGGGGCATTTCGTTCAAACTTCCGGAAGTTACGTTTGATTTTCTGCGGTCCTTGTGCAGCGTCAGCAAGTCAGGCGGAAGATCATGGAGGGCAACGGATCCTCAAGTCCTCCTCAGAATTTCTACAAGATAGCTATCGGTCTCTCAAAGCAGGGGGTCCCTATGCTGAGGGCTCTACCATCTTCTTGAGGAGTAAATACGAGGACCTAGTGTTCAGAAGCAGACATACCGCTATACCCTAGAACTGGAGAAGCCTTTCATTCCATTCCCTGATACCCATCCACGCCTTGGCAAAACAAGGTTTGACCTCACTGCTGCGTCCAACAACATTCCCTTTGTTGCGCACCCAGTTTCCATATCATTTCAAGTTTCCTTTTCGATTTTGTCTGCTCTTGAACCCTAAAGCCTATATGTCCTTATTTACCCGTATATGCATGTACATATATTTACATATACACACGCATACATATACATATACACATGCACATACACATACACATGCACATACATGCATACACGCATGCATGCGTACGTACATACATACATACATACATACATGCATACATACAAACTTACATACAGACATACATACATGCATACA